AGCTTTTCGAGCTCGTCATCATCAACTTCCTCGTCTTCTTCTTCAGCTTTTTCTTCCAATTTCTGCTGCATATCTTGTAGAAATGTGTCGAACTTGGTCACAATGGCCACAACCGGTACTATGGGAAATGTCACCTTTGAAGAGCGTGATTCATCTTTGATCTTACCTGTCAAATGCATCGAAAAAAAATCTTTCTCTGCTTGCTGGATGGGCCGAGAATTCATCTCCAAGCAGTACCTGCGGCAATTCGGCTGAGCTTGGCCATAATGAGGAAAAGGAGCAAGACGAACCACACCAAATGCAATTTCTGATTTATGTCTTTTGCCCGTGAACGACTATCGATGAATTTCCAAACAACGTCCACCTCTGCTTGCTTTCCCGCTTCAAATCCCTCGGAATCATGCGCAATGATCTTGTTGTTCCCTTCGAATTCAATTTCTTTTTCAATATTATGGGTACCTCTCTTAAGACTTCGCCTTTGGCATGTGCTCGATACTACAAGCGGACTGACTTTGCACTCACCGTGGTGCTAGACGCGTCCACCTGAAATGGCAGAATAAAATTTAAACCTTGCGAGAGCTTGATCACTCTTACCATATTCCCGCCACACACCTGGAACCAAAAGTTAGTCGCTTCATAAGATGCAAAAGCTGGTTCGAAGTGCTAACTTTATGCAGAATTGTGGTTTTGCCGCACCCCGTTTTCCCGATGATCAACAACCTAAACTTTTCAAGCGGAGGGGGCGCAACGGCGACGGCTGCTGCCAGTAATCTCTTCAATTCTTTCTCTTCGGAGGCATCTAGTTGAGGCGCTTTTTCAGAATCCACATCTTCATTTTTTGATGACTTTAACAGTCCCTTAAGTTTATCGAACCTCTTTGAAAGGAAGTTTGGACGGGGGCGCAATGCCTCGCGAGTTGCGATTTGAAACACTTCGCGAACCCCCTCTCCAGTTATGCTAGAGCACTCAACATAGTGCCTCGCTCCAATTCTTTTGGCGAGCTGCTGTCCCTGGTATGAAATGGTAGTGGGCGAGGGTATCCGTTCCAAGTTTAGCTCAACCTACCTCTTCAACGGTCACTGGGTGTTGACTCGTCCTCCGTAGTTCGTCAATGGTTTTGGGATCCCTTCTGAGGTCTTTTTTCAAACCTACAAGGATGATAGGGAGTCCGGGACAGTAGTGGTTGACGTCAATAATCCACTGCGATAATCGAAAAATAAATATTAGCACCGAGGTATGGAGGGGCTGGCTACGCACCTTCTTTAGGACGTTGTCCAGGGAATCGGGATCAGCAATGTTGAAGGATATAAGAACAACGTGCGAGTCGGGGTATGACAGAGGGCGCAAGCGATCATAGTCTTTCTGACCAGCCGTATCCCACAACGCCAATTCGACATGCTTCCCATCCACCTCAATGTCGGCGACGTAATTTTCAAAAACCGTTGGGATTGCTATCTGTTCACGAGTGTTAGCTGTGACGCTCCAATCAATTAACATCCACATACCTCTGGGAAAGTTCCTCCCAAGAGCACAATAAGCAACGCCGACTGCGAGATACAATCACTGATGTTATCTGTGCAATCCGCACTGCGATTTGTACGGACAAACCTTCCCTCCAGAATCACCTACGATGACGAGTTTTCGGTAAATCCAAGCCATCGCGTCCTATAATCCTCAACCGTTCGCGGTA